AGACAGGCTCTTTCTGCTCCTTGCCCCAGGAAAGCAGCCACCCTGACACGAAAACCAAACCGGAGGAACTCTAGTGAAAAACCCACGGTTCAGTTAATTAAGTCGCACTCACGCTTTTCAGTTGAAAGATTAGTTATGTGTTGGTAACTTGAGGTAAAGTGGCCTTGAACTTTCCATGGCTGTCACAGGTAGGGGGGTACCCTAGCAAGTTCTGACAGAAAAGGGCTGCGTTTTGCTGTGGGGTACCACTAGTATTCACAAAAAATAGACTTTTAAAATCCCTCAGGGTTGTTCGCTCTGGTGTCCAGGTCTGTCTGGGAGGTACTTCCAACTGGGAAGGACAGAGGATCTTTGACAATGTCAGTATTGAAAAATACCACTTTTTTGTTCAGGACTCTCTATCTCTGGACCAGAGGTTCAAGGTTGGAGGGGCCGTACCCAGCCCCGTCTGCCTTACCTTCACTGTTTGCACAGAAAAGCAGACATTCCCTGAAATTGAACGTTGCCTAATATTTGCATTTCCGGTGGAATCACGAGCTGCCAAAAAGCCCATCAGTACGTGGTTGGAGAAAGCGAGACCAACTTCAAGCTGGCAGAACCCATGCTCGTGTCTTTTGGTGTTAGGCAATTGCTATAAATCTTGCTGTAGAAATACAGAATGTTTCCAATAGTAAACATTTACCCTCTCCACGGGGGTTTTAACTAGATGTGCTGGTAACTAGAACACACAAGTTGCAAAGGAAATAAAAGAGCTCACTCCCTCTCCCCTGGCCTCCCATCTTCAAAAGCAGCAGTGGCTCGGGCTTCCCAATCCTCTTAGGGACTTCCACAGGAGTTTTAATTGAGTTTGAAGTATATGGTGACTCCCAAGACTACCAGAGTGAACCCTTGTGGGGAGTGACACCTATAACAAAAGCATCCCGAGGAGACTTTTGTGTAGGGACCCTGCCTAACAAGAAACCACAAAACCAAGCAACAGGCGTTACAGCATTTTCATTGTCGTTCTAGAGGCACTGGCTGTGGAACAACCTGGATCACCGAATGCATCATGTCTTCGTGGAAGAAACAGGGAAATAATATCTTCTTGGAGCGCAAATAAAGAACATGATATTAAAAAAAAATCCCAAGCATTAATTTTTGTCTGAATCACTGCTATTACTAGGGGGTTTTTGCTTTTTACTGCACTCTGGTTTTCTAAAAAGTGGGGGGAAAAATTCAAGTAAATATTTAAGATAAGTAAATCGTTTAACTTTCAACTGCTTTCCTCTTCTCAAGGTATATTAAGTGTTATGGTTAATATATTTCTGAGCTGAGGGAACCTTTGGCCTTGGAAAAATGTGCATCTGGGCTCCTCATGCTCCCGAATCTCCTGCCAAGCATCGGTGAGCCGAGGCTTGCTGACACACAAACGCTAGCGTGTGCCATCTGCCCGTCCCACCCAGCCTGCCTGGCAAACCCACTGCATCCGGTTCTCCACATTGCCCCATCGTCTTTCTGATATCAAATCTCCAGAGACCATTTTCTCAGACTACAAAATAATCTTGAAAAGCGCTCCATTTTGTCCCACTGGGCACGTACTCTTGTACGCACACGGCAGCCCTCCCGCCTTGCCTCTTACCCGGCAGCTCTCGTACAGCCCTGCTGTGCCCCGGTCACCTTGGCAAAGAGCTCTACGGGCTGCACGGGACGGTGTTATCATCCCTCTCTGCTCCGTCAGTAAAACGCCTGTGCAATGGCTCTCCCTGGTTCTTCTCAGTCCTCTCCAGGCTTCCAGCTCTGCTTTATCACTCAGCAGACGAAGGCACCCTCTGATTTCCCCCAGCTCTCAGCTGGTTTATGCCACCTCGCTCCCAGCCTTGTGTAAGGAGCCTCCTGCTTTCAGTCGTGTCCTGCCACGACCTCCCTGCCCACCACCTCCGTCCTGCCGGAGTGGGCTATGGTGAAAGCAGCTAAAAACATGTCTGATTTTCTCTCCTTGTACCTCCTTTCCTGTGCAACTTGCCATCCACTGAGATTCGGGCCTGCATTTGCAAAATGTTCCATCAAGTTTGGAGCTGAAGAAGATGGGAACCACCCCTGCTTGCTGCCCAGACAGTGAGATCTGTCTGCGTATCGGAGCTCGTACAAACCTGCCTTCCCACGTGGGCAGCTTGTCTGGCCACCCAGACAAACGTTAATAGTAACGTAAGGGAAAATAGGGAGAAAACAGAAGTAGTGTTAAGCTACCCTGAGATTCTTGAACTTGAGCCTTTGGGGGTAGAAATCAGGGGCCTTAGGAAAACCTTCATCAAGACCTCCCATGGTTTTCCGTGTGCAAAATCAAAACAGCACCCCTGGGGTTTGGTGTCTAACCTGCTGGTCCTAGAAGGCCCTAGTGCCAGACACATAAGGGTCCAGATGTGGCATGTCTGGCTGACTTAGAAAGTCCATCAGACTAAGTAACAGAGGGAGGCCTGTCCTAGCTTTTGAAATATATTTTATTTATGCATTTGATTATAAATTCAGCCACATCATGCAATGCTTGGCAAAAGCAAAAAAAGAGCCATAAAATCAGCTACTTCACTCTCTTCCCCTCTAAAGGTTTCCATCAAGGATGAGAAAAATGCCAAGTAAAAATTGAGTGGGTGGAGGGAAAAGAGCATAATAAATAATGAAAGATGCAATGAATCAGAGTCCTTAGGTAATCAAAATACTTAAGTCATAAAGATATCAAAAAGAAATAAGCTTTGTCCATATCTCAGGACTACGTATCTCACAATTATACTGCTATCAAGAGTGGACTGCACAAGTATCTGTGCCCACTTGCTACGCTCTCAGTGTATGCCATGGTCCAATATTGTCTCCTAGAGTCAAAAACTAATTATGTGTTAATGTTTTCAGAGTGTTGTTGCAGGGTAGAAGGCTTAGTTAAATCATTGCTGGACTCCAGTGTATTTTCTTACATTGCTTTCATCTAAGCTTTCACCTCTTTTTGCTTCCTCAAGGCTAATGCATGGAATATTAAAAATATGACAAGTCTCAAATTCAGAGGAGTCTATCTTTGCTAATACTATAGCAGACAAATGTATGAGAAATAAACTGCACCATCAGCTTAGAATCGAACTCAGAAAATCTACCTTCCTAGATAGTAATTTTCAACCAAAAGCTTGTGAGCCTGCAGCAGTATTAAAAAATGTATTTTTTCCCATCTACTTGAAATTAAATCCTATGCTTTTGCCATATAGCAGCAATTATAAAGTCCTTATCTCCTGAATCACATTGATTTTGCTTACAACAGAGTCACCTTCTTCTGCTCCATTTTGGCAAGTGTTTACACCAGCCACAAATTTGAGTCCAATAAGCCTAGCAGTGAAGAGCTACATGCACTTTCCCCTCCAAATTAGATGCTAGGCAAGTTCCATCCAGACAATTATTGTCTTCGTTTTGGTCAATAAGTCCCATTGGTCCTGGGTTTTAGTTATCCTACGGACTTTAACCTTAGTGCAATACGGTATTACCTGTGATCAACGCTTCAAAGGCAGCATTACAGCTGTCTAGAGAGGGCTGCCGAGCTCTTCCTTAAAGCAGGAACGGCCTTTACCCAGCCTGCTGCAGACATGCTCGCTTCTTGGCTGCTCCCAGCCCTTCTGAAAGCCTCTTGTAAATGTGACTCCATTCGTGAGAACTGGCTGGTCATCCGCGGTGAAGGTTTCTGGGAGGACCCTTCCCTAAACGGGTGGCAGACAATTCTGCCAGGGGCTCAGACGTTCAGGTAGCTGACGGCTGGCATTGGAGGAAAGGTGGGGTCAGTACCTCATCCTCCCTGGGGAAAGAAAATGCCATCACGGCTTCTCCAGGACTGTCAGAAATGTTGAAAAAATGAGAACTGCTTGCAGGCAAGGGGGCAGCCCTATATCCAGAAACGTGCTGGTGAGGGCAGCTGCCTGGGCGTGCGGGAACTGCTCAGCACCCGGCTGCCAGTCGCCCTTTCCCTCTGCTGGGGAGGGGGAGAGCGGTGCTCCGCTTCTCCCACGGCAGCCTGTGGCTCCAGGCACGGGGATATGTGTTTGTAACACAGGTTTCGCTGGGGAAATGCTAATCTGATGTTTCAGAAGGGGTTACAGAGGTCCTGACATTTCCTAAGTGTAGTCAACGTGGGATGTGCTGCGAGATGGTGGGGAGGGAGTTGCTTAAAATACCGTGCTTGAGTAAATCCCTCGCTCTCCGTAGTGATCTGCAGCGATGCAGTCACTTGCTGGCTGCGGCAGCAGCACTGACCTGCGTTGGCTGGGCACGGCTCCTTCACCTGGGCTGAAAGCAATAGCGACCTGGCAGCCAGAGAGAAGCCCAGGTAATAAAAGTGCTGAAGGACAGGCTCGTTTCTTTTGCCTCCCTTGAGTGGTTGAGAGCAGCTGTCCTTCGTGTCTCGCTGGCTTCAAGCAGGAGGGAACATTTGCAAAGTCACCTTGAGCTACTGCTGAGCTCCCAAAATTTGGCCACACACTTTCTGTTATGCTGACAATTGATGTGTGCCGCAGAGCAAGGGCTGCAGGTCCATTACAGCTTGGCGAGTCCATTTAAACCACGAAGGGAGACGTTACTCTAAATCCGAGATGGGTTTTGCTGAATTTATTGGTTTTAATCCCTGCAATTAGGTATACATTATTATCACAAGTGACAGAACAGAGTTGTAACCATGAATCCCAATTTATATAGAAGCACCCAGAACCTGCAACCCTGGTTTGCAGTAGAGTATTTTTATCATTTGGAGAAGAAACACCCAGGTTGTGAACCTGTGTGTTGGATCTGAGCCACAGCTAGGCACAGAGCAGCCTACAGCAGCAGAGAGTGAGCCTGGCAGCGTCCATGAAATCCCTTTGTGGGGCTGACACGTGCAAAAACAGCTACATCTGGAAAGCACAGCATGTGCTTGATCAGAAAAGAACATCTGTACACATGGAGGTGTGGCCAGTAAACCATCTTCATACACTGCTGATGGTGGTACTTGGCAGGGGTCTCCGAGGGCTCTGTAGGAGAGGTGTTTAAATGCGGCCTAGAGGCTGACTAAGCTGGTTGCCTACGAAGATAATTCATTCTTTGCTTTGTTAAATGTGGTCATTCAAATCTGTGGCGTGGTCCTGAACAGGTTTCTACTGCAGCTATCCACAAACAGTCCTCTCAGCGATTAATTCCTGGTGATGGTATGAAATCAGGCAGCCTTACTTTTCTGTATCTATAGCCATTTGTTTTGTTATCCAGCTACATAATACCGCACGAACACCACAATGAATAGTACACAAGTATCATCAACACTGTGAGGTGATATAGTCCACAGTTTGGAAGCCAGCAGCAGTTGGGAGATTTTCTTATGTTCATCTTAATTCTTAGCACTTCTTTTCTAAATTTGCGTAGGCTACAGAATTACTTTTAATAGCAGGTATGCAGGGGAAGTCAAGACACTTGGCAGGTCCCCATTATTAGAGGACATTTTCGGCAATATTTAACTACTTCTTTCCATCTCATTTCTGACTTCCTTTTTCATCTCTCCCTTACTTCTGGGCATACGTGGACCATACACTTTGTTCACATCTCCCACCAGAAGTACTTTGATCTTCTCTGTAGGTTTTGTGCTGTAGGAATACACATGATTTAAAAGCTTCACTTACTGTAACAATAAAGTAATATCTTATTGCCATGCTAATAACATATTTCACCAAGTATATTTCCAAGTACAGCTTTGCATTGCCTCAGAAAAAATATTTCTTCTCCCTCCCCTGTTTTGAGTAACTGTCTGGTTCTGTATAGAACACAGACATTAATATGACTGTGGAAGACTGAGCTCACAAGACAAATAAATGGCCATGTACACTGATTTAAAAATACACCTCTAGGTTTGAGGCTCGCATTATGTTAAATGAAAGCAACTGTATTGTTACGCTGCCCTGTGTAATTAAAACTCCATTTAATTGCTTACCTGCACGTCTTGCCTGTTGTGCTCTCCCTCCATTATCAGCTACATGAATTATCGAAAAAAGAAAACAAGATATTTTTTTTCTGGTTTTTCAAATGTGTCTGGTAAAACACTTATGTTTGCATTTAGGGCAAGACTACATTGTCCTCAACCCCCCCACACTAACCTGCTGTTCTCAAACACATCCCTTCCAAAGTAAAATTTTCCCATTAACCTGTCCCTAAGAGGTGCTTGTCAGAAAATAATATTTTTCCCCTCCAAAAATTAAAAAGTGGTGAAGACAGTAGGATTTTATTTTGAATTTATGCATTGAGAAAAACTTGTTTGCAAACTGAACTTTAGTTGCAGCAATTGAAAAATATCAAAAATCTTTCAAATAACTTCTAAATTAAGTTTTCTTCAAAAAAGCTTGTAGAAAAGATGCACCACTGTACCCAGCAGAAATCTATTTGAGCATTGGACTGGTGCTGTCTGAGGAGAAATACTGTTTACAGTGATTGTCTCCTGCAGCATTTGGATTTGTCCGGGAATCCTTTCAGGCACCAGGTTTGCTCCAGCTCCTGTTCAGCTGGTGGGAACCCCTCCATGGTCTTTCCTGCGAGCAGGCTCAGACTTTACTGAGCACTGAGGCAAACCCAGTCTCTCCCTCGGGCTGAAGAGAAATGATTTCTCTGGTGAGTTCCCAGAGATTTCTGCCCACCGCAGATTTGGAGCACCGTGCCCTGAGGCTGCACTCCTGCTGGTCTCACCTCTGGCAAGGAGAGGAGATGCATGCAACAAAATGCTGTTCACGTTTTTAGGTGACTGCAAGATTCACAGCCCCAGGCCAGAGTCCTGAGGAATAACTAGTACTTTTGAACACTTACGGTCTGAAGAGGTACCAGCATCTGTAGCCTCGCTGTAAAGAAACAGTGTTGAATGTTAGTGCCTCATAAAACATGAATCACATCTTGTTAATAACGAAATAAGGGATGTGAATAGATCTGACCCCCTCCTCTGAGGTGAAGGACTGCCCTCCAGACTCTGCTTGGCTCTTCTTGAGACCGAAGCAGAGCAGCACAGGACGCGTGGTCCTTAAATGAACAACTGTTGGAGAAATTTTCAGGGACCATTTGTAAGTAAATAAAAGGATTTACCTGTTCCACTTAATTTGGTTGGTGAGTTTACCTAAGAAAGATGGAGAAGAATGTTTTACAAAGCTGGCAATGCATTCAAGTTTGGGACTTGGTACTGTGCCCCTGGATCTCATGTTCTGGGATAAACTAGGTGGGCATGGGGGTGGGCAAATGAAGAGGACATTTCCTGAGGACATGATTGAGCACCCAAAGACTCGGGGGGTAGGTGGGAGCAGGAAACCCCATCAGACAGAGGAGAGTCTGTCCATGTGCTGGTTCAGAGCAAACCTCTTCCTTGGTATCCCCAGAAACAGTCTTTCTGCCCCCTTCACCCTCCCCTCTCCAACACCCTCAACACCCCATCCGAATCCTCATCAGCCCCTCAGGGCCACACACACCCCCACCCATATAAAGGAGCCAGCATTTGGTGGCCATCAGCGTGGCTCGCTGAGCCCCCTGGCTTGCCGATTCCCACTCGGGGTCAGCGGTCGGGGCAGGTCACTCACTGTGCACGCCTTGCAGCAGCAAGCCCAGGCGATTCATGAAGTCCCGCGTCAGGTGTTGGTACTGGTTGGTCCTGCCCTGATCCAGCTTCACTACCCTCACGTCCATCCTGCTGACGCTGAAATTCTGACTCGCAATCCTAGGGTGCAGGCAGTCATTTCACGAAGGAAAACCATTTAGCATTAGCAAGTTAACAAACTCCTTTGTTAGGAAGGACTCTACAAAAAGGAGGGCGCTTTGATGACATGAAGTGTCAGGTAAACAGCTCTTTGATAAGGTTAAGTGAGTTGCAATTGTTAATATATTGTTATTTATTTGGCAATGCCTTTTGCTTACCAAACCTGGATGGGAACTTTCAAATCCTGAAAATGAGACAGGGGGAGGCGTTTTGCCAATAAATACCCTTGTGTGCACAGTGCTTCTTTGCCCTGCTGCAGGCAGGCTCCTACTGTTCTAGCACAACCACCATCATGATAGAAAGAAAATGCCAAACATACTAAGTGGTGGCCAGGCTTCTGGAAAATGACTTTGATCCCACCAGCTAGATTTTGACTTGCAGCACAGCTGTGAGTAATGGATTGTGCTGCTGCCAGCACAGCCCTAGGTACGTGGTGATTCAAAGTTATCCTTACAATCCAAGTTCAAACTCAGCTTTAATTTGTACAAGTTACAGAGATGACATCTTAAAATCCAGCTAGATGTTTGAGCTAGCCCTTCGTGCAGCGGGGAGCGTAGTGCTGCAGCAAAATCTCTTGTGGATCTGTAACTTACTGTTGGTGTGGCTTTGCACCACTGAATTACAGCTGATACCCAGGCATCAATTGGGAAGTGATAAGTTATACATTTAAATGTACCACTTGCAAGAGAAGGGAGAATAAATCTGCCTAGCTATTAAGCTTGTCCACAAGCAGAAGCAAAAATTGGTGGGAAATGAGCCGGTTACCTCTGCAGCCAAAGGCTGTGCACTGGGACTTACGTGCAGGAGTGTCACCAATACATATGCATGAGAGTGTTGCTGTAAACTGAACCTATGGGCTTCATCTCTGATAAAAAACATTTTTCTGGTAATAAAAGCCAGTGGTTTTCATCAGAATCCAGCAACCGTGTAGCTGCCAAGGGAACTGAAACTTAAAGAGACCCCTGGAATGGAAGACAGGTATCTCTCCATCCTTGTTAATTGTGTGGACATGGTGCCCTCTGGCTCAGCTGGAATAGGGAGCAGCTTTGCAGGGTAGGGTGCCAGGACAGAGAGGCACAGGCAGTGGGGTTTGATCTCATTTATCAGCACTGTATTTTTTCAAAGAAGAAAACAAGTGTTTTCAGGTGGAACATACCTGTCCATGGCAAGTTTAAATTCCTACAAATAGGATTGCCAAAAAAAAAAGGAAAAAAAAATTGTTAGTGTCATTTCCAGAACAGGCAGCTGGCTGAGAAATAGGCACATTCATGAAGAAAAGCAGAATACTACTGCTTACTTTGAAGAAGATGAAAATATCTGGTTGCTCTCTCATCTTCTGCAAAGACTGAAGATGCTGCACAGCCTCATCTCTTTTCTGTTCCATTTGCTTCTTCACTCTGGTAATGTTTGCCAGTTGTTTTTTCTCATTGGATTGAATGTCACTCAGGACCTTCTTCTCTTTCTGAATTATCTCTGTCTTCATCTCTTCAAACAGCTTTTGCAGCTGAGAAGTCACTGTTTTCGTATTGGTCTAAATGAACGGATAAGAAAATGGTGCACTGGCTCAGGAACGCAACACTTCAGCTTAGTATCTCTGTTCATTAATTAGGATTGTATCTATCCTTTGCACTGGCTTTAGAAGGAAGTGGACAATAAGCATTTGCTTAGAATATCTGATAAAACAGAGGGTTGTGAAAATTATTGTGCTATAGTAACAAAATCAGGTAAAATTCAGCTAGCAATGTGAGAACTGTATCAGTACACACTGAAAATCCCACTTGCAGATGCAAATTATTGTTCTTTTATTTAACAGATAGAAAACTTCAAAAATATGTAATGATATGTACAATCTCTGGTCTGCCAGTCCTGCAGCCTGGTCCGTGCAACCACAATAAATGGTGGCGTCTCCCAGCCGGTTCCCCCTGTGGAGCTATGCAGGGGGGCTGGGAGACAGCTCGCCTTCTGGCAGTTTCTTCCACCAGTGTTTTCCCTGCTTTGGACTATATCTCTTTCTAGTCATCTGCCTCTAACAGTATAGTTGCCATCACTTATTTCTTAGAATCATAGAATCGTTTAGATGGGAAAAGACCTTTAAGATCATCAAGTCCAACCGTTACCCTAACCCTGCCATCCCACCACTAAACCCTGTCCCTAAGCACCTCGTCTGCCTGGCTTTTAAATACCCCCAGGGCTGGGGACTCGACCACTTCCCTGGGCAGTCTGTTCCAATGTTTGACAACCCAATTGAAATAGAAATTGTGGAGGGAAGGTGCTCTGAACTAGCAACGATCTGGGTACCAACCTCGAGCTGATTCTTATTTTTCTGAAGCTCTTCTAGGGCAGTAGCTAAAGCGCTTTTACGTTCCTGCAGCCATGTCACCATGTCCGAGAGTTCACCCTGGCAGAAGGAAAGACAGCATTGAACTTCATAGCAGGGAAGCAGGGTGGGTGGCTTCACACCAGGCTGGCAGTTCGTGGAGCTGCTGAAGCAGCATGGGCGCCTTCTACTGCCCACTTCCACCAGTGAATCTGATAACAAACTACGTTCACTTGCCTCCTCATAAAGATAGGGCATAACAGAAAACCGACATGATCTTGAAACCTTTCAAGTCAATGTTTAATTTTTATATACGTGTAACTTTGTATGTGGTAGGTTAATAAACAACTTTTCCCTTTGAACAAATAGATCTCACTTTAAGTGAAGAAATCTCACTTTATCCATTAAAGCTCTGTTCCTGCCAGAATCTTCACATGTGCCTAACATGATCCAAATCCTTAGTTTTCACATCTGTCAGCAGCTGTGGGACCTGAGGATAAGGTAATAAGCAACCGTCTTTTCTGCAGATCAGCAAAACAGTGGTATTTACTCACCCATCTCTTTATTTTAATGGACACGACAATCATTGAGTGCGGTTATACTGCACAATAACACGTTTCAGAGGGGACATTAAACCTCGTTCTTCAGGGATTAGACAGTGTCTGAATGGTTCTTGTTGCTCCTGGCCGCCTCCAGTGGTGTTTTCACACTTTGAGAACCCATGAATGGCCACGGCAGACACAGCTGCCAGATTCCCATTTCTTTCATAAAAATGATGCCAGAAAGCTTAGATTTTCCATGAGATGGTTCATAGAATGATTTAGGTTGGAAGACCTTTAAGATCATCAAGTCCAACTGTTAACCTAACCCTGCCATCTCACCACTAAAGCATGTCCCCAAGAACCACGTCTGCCTGTCTTTTAGATACCCCCAGGGATGGGGACTCAACCACTTCCCTTGGCAGCCCATTCCAGTGCTTGACAACCCTTTAATTGACAAAATATTTCCTAATGTCCAACCTAAACCTGGCCTGGCACAACTTCAGACCATTTCCCCTCGTTCTATCACCCTTTACCAGGGAGAAGAGGCCGATCCCCACCTGGCTCCCCCCTCCTCTCAGGCAGTTGTAGAGGGCGATAAGGTCTCCCCTCAGCCTCCTCTTCTCCAGACTAAACAACCCCAGCTCCCTCAGCTGTTCTGGGAAGTTTTAATTTTTGAAAAATTAAAAGACAAAAACCCGTTTATAATTCCTCCCAAAGAGCTGCATTCCTGATTTCCCTGGCTATCCTGTGGAGTTTAAAAAAAAAAAGAAAAACCAGGCAGAATATGCAGCTGAGATCTCATCTTACCCACGGAGATAATGTCCCCATAGACAGGGCAGTGTTGCTTCTTTACCAGCTCTGGGGTGCAGGAAATGGCT